ACGAAGACGACCGAATAAACCAAGCCCGAACCTGTAGGGCTAAAATAATCACTTGTAATCCAAATGTGTGATGGACTTTCGTGAAACACTGAGACCCTAAATAATCAATCTAACATAGTGAATTTTCTTGTACGCAACCGTTTGACACCGTTTGGGAAAAAGACAATCCCATAACAAAAAAAACTTGTGAAACTTATTGATAGCCACCAAACATAACAAATCGCAGCAACAAAGCATCTCGCTCTAACAGCCATTCTAGTGGACAGTCACGAGCCAAGGATGTCAAGCCTTCGCCTCTTTCCACTTTGGAATACATCATCCTACCCGCGAAGGCGCCTCGAGTTTCTCTCTGGAGGATCAAGTCCACGAGATGAAGTTTGAACATGACATCTTTCAGCCTCTGCATGAGGCCCAACAACTAAAGTCTGCACAACTAGATGAAGCTTACTTACCATCAATTCAACATCCCGCAAAAAAATTCTCTGCTTGAGCATGCTTATACCGAGCCCCCTCCTTGGGATGAAATCCTTCCTCTACTAGGCCGAGACGCCAAACTCAATACCACGAGTTTCAATCACCTGTCGTGCACAGCTAGGCTGGCTAGCCAACCTCTAGCGCTCATGAGAAACTTAGCCTCACCTCGTCATGTTGCAGCAACAACTCACATGACCTGGATGCAGCTTAAAATGATGGTTCATTTACATAAGCACCCACAATTCTTATGTATTTACATATCTCACACCTAATCATTCATATTTACACATAAAACACTCAAATATTCAATATCACATTAAAAATAACATCATTATCACTTTTTTAAACGTGAAATACATTTTTTCATGTAGCACTAAAGTGCTATGCATGTAAGGACCAAAGTAAAGGTAAGAGATATATAAATACCCAAGAATTGTGTGCAACATATGCAAATTTCACATTAAAAACAGATGTACATCATCTGAAAATTTAGATATTTAGGATTAATGTCTAGAAATATATCATCAACATGTCATTATACGGTAAACCATAATTTGCATGCAAATAGTTTGCTTTCCATCCAGTTTTCAACCCAGCATACCACCACTTAATGCCAAATAATTTTCTAATGGTCAAAATTCTTGTTTTTGCAATGATTGATATGAACACTGTAGAGCAAAATGAGAATTTACAAAGAAGAAACATAAAGGTCTATCATATCATAAAAAAATTTCAACTACCGCTATGGTGGATGGCCTTTCGGCCAAAATTATGAATAATGTTTACGATTTAACGCCAAAATGCCACTAGAGCGAGAGATTGCTACATACCAGTTGCTAGAATTTCTGATCGAATGGGAGAGATGATAATCCTTTTGAAACTGAATACCAGACCTGAAACATTAAAAACTGCAGGGAATGAAAGCGATGTTGGGGCTAAATATTGTTATAGGAAGCTCTTCGTAATTATATCAGATCAACAATTAGGAAAAGAAAAAAAAAAGGAGATTGTGGCAGAATCTGTTGATGCGCATGTATCAAGATAGTGAGAATTCTTGCCTCTAACTTTTGTTTTTAAAACATATTTATTTGATATATATTTTAGATATTTTTATTATTTTTTTAAAACACTTCTAAACAATCTTTACATGTTTTGAGTGTTGAGTGTTTTTAAAAAGCATATTTTATTTTAGCATGCCAACCATATATTATTTCAAATAAAAATATAAGTAAAATAAAATATATAAAAACAAATAATAAAGATGATCCCAAATGGCACTTTGATTATCATATCAACTGATTTGGGCACAATCATTTTATTTTTTTATTTTTTTGTTTTATGTTTCTATTTTATTTCAGTTTGATTTGAAATAAAATATGTTTAGTATATCGAAAATAAATCAAATTATTTTTAAAACAAATCAAAAATTATAAGTTATTTTGATTAATAAAAAATAAAAATATACTAAAAAAATAAAAATAAAATTGATCCCAAGCGTACCCTTGGTTTTATTAAAGCATAACACATGTAGAATGAAATTAAAAAACATAATTGAAATAATCCAAATAAGAAAGTCAAAATATTACATTCGAAGCACCTGAAACATCACTATTTGCAAAATCTAGCGCCCAAATGATATTTTAAAATACCGAAACGATGTGTTTACACGTGCCACAATCAACCCATTGAGAATTTGATAAAAAAATAAAAAATAAGGGTTGGGGTTACATCATGATTTTTGATATTTGAATGAGATTATGGACAATGGATGAAAGTGGACGCTAGATTTGTAAATAGCAATGTTTCAGATGCTATGTATGTAATTGTTTCTCAGCAATACCTGAAGCAACTCGTTGAGTCAACCCAAGATGGTCATTCCATGTGAATTTACCTTCTAATCTTCAGCCACTTGCCTCATGAGCTGCCACTCATCAGCCAAAAGTCTTGGTAGGAGTCGAGACTGGATATGCTCCAGAAACTCGGAATGCAACAACCGCACTTTCTCAATCTTCTCATATTCAGCGGTTCCCTTGTGGACCAATTTTAACTGAACATTTAGTTCCTCTCTTCTATTACTTGGTACTGGTTTGACCTGAATATGGCTACCTAACTCAGTAAAAGCTTTGGAATATATAAGAAATGGGGCATTTACATGCATACCACCCAATTCCTATGTATTTGCATATTGAAAATTTAAACTTTGCTTTTTTACATGTATCTATGTAAAAATCTTCCTATAAAAATATATCCACTGAAGTTTTCAATGTTGTTTCTCATTAAACATTGAACTTATGCATTGTTTAAATTATGGACAGGTCAATGACTGCAGTAACAAACATCCCTACAGAAGATTACCAAACCAGCAGCATTTCAAGAAGAATGCTGAAGTGTAATAAGAGTTTTTATTGTTCTATTCAGATTAAAAGACCCTTCACAATTGCATAGCCATATATCTGATAGTAAATCAGGAATATGTGAAACACAATGTATGTAATTAACAGTGCTGCTTGATAGCCTTAAACAACAATTGACACAATTTAGATGTAAACATGTAAAAATAAGAAAATATAGTAATACTTAAAATAGATCACTGTAAAACGAGATAAACAAATTCAACACAACTATTTTGTATTTTGTCGAGGTGACACAGTCTTCTGCATCGCAACAGATAAAGTGAATCGCTAATGAATTCATAAAAAATGAATACTAGTTTTAAAATGAGATACAATTCAACATTAATTTCATTTAAAATAATACTTAGAATTGACATTAATTTCATTCAAAATAACCCATTTATCATCAACCTATAAATAATGCAAAACGTTAAATATTGCAAACAAATACTCCAACACCATAATCACGCCAAAAAACATAAAGCTGTAGAACATTAATAAATGGAGGGAGGATCTCATAAGCTATGAAATACAATGCATACATACTAACCTCATATGCTGGCATAAACCCTTCTGCTATTCCAAAACAAGCATCATCAATTATCCAAGGTCTGGAAAAAAGTAAATTTCATTAGAAATATTGAAGTACTCTCACTTTCAATAATATGTGCTTGACCTTCAAACCAGTATTGAAAAGGAAAAGCACCTACCATATCAGCAGTCAAATAATAGGAATTATGGCTCTATTATATAAATGCAACTTATATTCTATGAATTAGTCTCTTTATATAAATCTTATGGAATTAATTTTTTTGGAAAACATTAGAATTATTATGAAGCAAGAGCTTCCCGCGACTATAGGATTTTGCAATCTTAAGAGATGGGCCAATACAGTCTTGTTTTCCTTTCTTATGCTTTATTTCCTATTACGCTTCATTCCTTCTTAGACATCAGTCAGGACAGCCATCGGTATTTGTTCCTCCCTTTGAGGGATGTATC